TTTCTCCTTATGAGATTGCCATCAGTGGGGAAGCAGGCTCTCAGCCGGCGCTGAATCTGCTGGTGCTGTGGTCTTGGACTTCCAGCTTCCAGAACAGTGAGAAACAAATGTTTGTTGTTTAAATCCACCTAGTTTATGGGGTTTTTGTTAGTATTCCAAATGGATTAAGATGCCACATCTCTTCAACAGCACTACAAACATTATACATTGCACAGCTGCCTTGTGCCAGATGCATCTGTGCTCCACCTACCATGGTAATGGTGTCCTCATTGCCTCTTAGGCAGCAGAATCCAGCTTCAAAGTCCTGTGTTAGCTAGATCTGCTTTTATGTACCCCTTCTGGGATCAGCTCTTCCAGGTTGAGCTCCCCAAGAAGCAGGCTTTTTGGTGGTGATTAGCATGCAGGAGGTTTATTAGGGAGTGGGGAGGGGAGAGAGCAAGACTGGGCAGAGAGGGCAGTTGGGCTCTGATACATCTTAACAAAGGCCTTAGCTAAACTTCTTGGAGTTTGGAAAGAGCTCTGACTTTGGACTGGACCTTCTAATTCTCCCAAGTTGGGATGAGAGGGCTGAGCCTTCATAGCTAGCTCCCCATCAACCAGCACTGGGTCTGGACTTTCCTGGGAGGGGGACTGACCTTGGTTGAGGTGTCTTTTCAGCTGAGGTGACGTCTAAAGGAGGGTGGCTGATGTTTGTCTCTTGGCAGAACTCCCGGGAGCTAGAGGAATGAGTCCTTCAGTTCTGAAGGGGGAGCTGGGCAGAGCATCATAGCAGCTACTGAAGCCTGAAGTGCCCTCTCCTCATTTGTTTATCTGGCAAATACCTACTCACATTTCAAGATTCAGCTCAGGCCTCTGCATGCTGCCTCTTGTGATGCCCTCCTGTCCCTCGTTTGTGCTCGGTGTGCTTTCTGCACTTTACTGTCATTGCCCCCTAGCACTTTATCATGCTCTTTAACAGCAGGCTCTACTCTGGGGCTCCTCCCGGTATCCTGACGCTCCCTGTGATGACCCAGAACCAGTGAAAAAAAAAAAAAACCCAGAAAGTGAGTAATTTTGTTTTTAAAAGTTTCCATCAAAAGTAATAAAAGAAGAAAAAGTTTAGATGCCGTAAGAAGTAACTACCTTGTTTTTATAATCCTTTCATTTCTCTTAAATCTCCATTTCATTTATTTATCTGCTAGGTCTTTCAAGATAATTAAAAATTATGCAAAATCTGCCATAAACATTTATTGTTGACTTTATTCTAATCCAGCTAGAAATAGAGTGCTGTTTATAAAATATGATAGATATCCTGACGGAATGAACACTAAATTGTTGGCTTTGGAAGTTTCTAGAATTCTGCTTAATACACTGGGAAGCTTTGTAGAAGCAACACGACCTGACAAACTCTAGGATTCCAGAAACTTCCTTCTGCCTTTTGCCTCCTTAGCCTGCGAAGCCATTGCATCGGCTCCCTCTCAGGTTAGGGAGAAGCTCATCATGGCAAGGAGCTGAAAAGAAGCCTAGGCTGGCCGGTGAGTTTTGGTTAAACCTTTGGATTCCACAGCAGCGTTCTTTTAATGTTGTAAGTATGAATCTGTGGTTGAAACTGTCAGTGTTCCGCTTCAGTAGCCATGCACGCTTCGGTCAGCATCTCTATGAGTGAGGCACTTCTTACAATCCATGTTTCTTACAAATGCTTTATTTCCTATTTGAACTTTTATAAAATAGGAAAGTGGGAGCATTGTCTTGTGTAGTGCCTTGGCCTGTTCTTCTGCACCAGATGATAGGTGTTGTAATGCTATCTCTCTCGAAATAATCTCATGTTGACATATGAATGCTTCCAAAACATTTTAAAATTTCAAGAATGATTTCTTAGAAATCCAGTATTATTCGGAATAGGACTTTCTAAAGGTAAACAATGCTCCTTGGAATTAAAGAAGGTTTGGTCTAAATGATATAGTATATAAAACTGCCAAATGCTTTCCTGATTACAAGTATGAAACACTATCATCTCCATATATCGTATAGGTCATCTTGCACATTTCTTCTTGGGGACTCTGATTTTTGTACAAATGTTTGCCATTACAGGAGAGACAGTATTGTACAACAACAATTTCTCGAGTGCCAGGAAACGGTATGCCACACAGCGGTTTGCTTAATTTACAAAAGTTCACAAAAGGGCCACTGGGAAATTCTAGCCCTTCACAGTTTTACCTCCTTTCTCTGTGATTCTCCGTTTTCTTTTAATCTATCCTGATTTATGTTGAGCAAACTTGCATGTGATGCTAAATGAACTCATAGTCCCTCCTTTCCCGTGTGTGTGTGTGTGTGTGTGTGTGTGTGTGAGAATTAGTAATTTGTGCTAAGGGAGGTTCCTGTCCCCCACCCCCCTCAACTCAGAGTGATTTTTGTTATCTTAATTCTTGTGGTTAGGAGAGAGAGAGGGATCAACATAATTTCTTCCTAATATGTCCATGCTTCTGAAAGGGAATATTTGACAACTGCAAGGAAATGATCAAATTCACACATATAAAAGCATAATGAAAAGAATTCCTTAAATTTTAAGAAAGGTGTAGTGAGAGAACAGAGAAAGGCTGTTTGTTACCAGTAGTAACTTTGTCAGCAGTTGGAGGAACCTGCCAGCCATTAGGGTCGAACAAATTGGAAAAGAATTTAAGACTGTAGTGCTGGAGGGGCCTGTGACACCTTTAGTGTCCCTGAGATCCAAGAAGCCCATAGGGGTTCTGCAGATGCTGATACAGTCATCCGAGGCCAGAGACCAAGTGATGCTTAACAAAATGCTCTCAGAATTCTCCCGGACAGTTTTGACTGACCCGTACTTAGAGATGGCAGCTTCTGTGGGATTAGAGTCAGACTTGTATCTTCAATGTGGATCCCCCATTAAGCCTTTCGGGATGACTGGGGATCCACAGAAAGCATGTAAGTGGAGGCCCATGTATCAAATTGTAATCAAACTGCCAAATAAAATGCATTTTCCTCACTTGACTAGTATACCTTCGTAACACCCAGAAGGCTACATTTAATACATATATTTCAAACTCCCTGGGTTCTGTGCCAGAACATGGTGCCTGAGGGGAGCTGGATCTCACCTAGAGTGGTGAGTAGTTCCCACGTTTCCTTAAGGTAGCTGAAATAACACTTAGTTGCACCATCTTAACCCTTTAACCCATGTTGCAGACCTGCTAAGAGAATTCTTGTAGGTAAATCGCAGAGGCAAATAACACGTTTGACTCTGCACCCCAGCTTTGCTGTGTCCTCCACTTGGCTGCACCCACTTACTAGCAGTTGATTTAAGCTGTTAGAACCAGCTTGGTGATGAGATGTGTGGAGAGTAGTTTTGGTGCCCTTCTCTTACAGGTTTGGTTTTCAGAAACTTCTGTTTCTTTTCCTTGAATAGAGCAGTCTATTTAAGCCGGTTTACCTACAAGGGGCGACGTGCAGTGATAGCAGAGTGCAGCTGGCAGTGGGGACCTCTGAGCCAGGGCTGGTGGGCTGCCCTATTAGCCTCCTTCTCAGACACTTTGGCCCACCTCTCCCCAGGGCCTGGTTTGCAGTCGCGTCTGTCTGTTGGTTGAGCCGCAGCTTAGAGCAGCAGGACATTCCCTATGTGTGGTATTTTAATCTTGCAACCTCTATATTCCTCCCGTCTTTCTTCCAAAGAACTGCCATTGCGTGCAGCCCCATCTCCTACCACTAGAATTAGCAGGGGCTTCAACTAACTGCACACAAATGATCAAGTTCATATAACACATTTGGGAAAAAAAGGCAAACTCTACTTTTAATAAGGATGTGGCATAGAACAGGGCAGCTAAAGGTGCTATGAAGAGCTTTGTCTCAGCTAGAGGAACCTGTACCTTTAGGGAGCCTGAGAAGTCTTGAGAGGCTCTTACTTGCTTATGTTTGGGGCAGTGTAGCACAGTGGCTAGAAGCACAAGGTGGGGAGCCAAATTCCTGCACTTAAAACCCAGCCCTGGCACTTATTACCAAGACCTTGGGCAAGTTATTCAAACTCTGTGCCTCAGTCCCCTATCTGACATAAGTAAACAGTAATTTACACATGCAAAGCATTTAGGATAGTGCCTGGAACCTTGGAAGTGTCAGTAAATAATCTTTATTGTCTCTTGGGCTGGGCATTTTCACATTACTCCGAAAATGTGAGGGTTCTAATGGATTAATAATTTTTTAATAGCACTGGGAAATGAAGGGTTTCTCCATCGTCATGGCCTCTTTCATTTGAGTATGTTCTAGGGAGAGGATTCCTGTCTGTTCTTGGCTCCAGCTGTGGACCACGGTGCAGTCTCCAGCCCCTTGGGGCTGTCTGCTGTTGTCACAAGGTCCTGAACTGCTGAGTCAGGCCAGCCTGGTGCTACACTTTGCTCTTGTCATAGGGGAGGGGACTCTCCTCACCCCTAGGGCTGTGAGCAGTTTCCCTCATCCCTCTGGGAAACAGAACCAGTGGTGGTTGCTTGATAAAATGCAAAGTAAAATTTAGGGTGTTCCACTCCTTTCTCTTCTACTTTTGTTAAATTAGTAAATATCAGTTAAATGAATGAATGAACCTTACCTTATTGAATGATGGGAGGTGCTTGCATATTTTGCCCTCTGTGCACCCGATTGTGCCTCTCAGCAATTGCTCTGTGTTGGTTTACTCTGTGTGGGCCTCATCCAGTTGGGTATGATACATACTATTACAATATTCCATATCAGCAGTCTTATAGTCATTACCCACAACTGTGTCTCCATCCACACAGCAAAATACATGCAAACCCTGCGCCAAAAGAGACAAAGGTATCATCTCTTTCTTCGCTCTGACTCACCATAGGTCACAAGACTCCAGCAGAAGGCAGCATTTCTCTGATGTCTTCCCTTTAAAAAAATATCACTCAGGCCTGGAGAATTGGTATTTGACTGCAAAGAAAAACCAGTCCATTAGTAATGTAATAACCTGATGATGAATGGGGGGATGGAGATGTAATATGCAACACATTTTCTTACAGTCACAGAAGATCTTATCAGACGGAATGCAGAACACAATGACTGTGTAATTTTTTCCCTGGAGGAGCTCTCCTTGCATCAGCAAGAAATAGAGAGACTGGAACATATTGACAAATGGTGCCGGGATTTAAAAATCCTCTATCTTCAAAACAATCTCATTGGAAAAATTGGTAAGTTGTCAGGCCTTTTCCTCATGGTTTCTTTAACATTTTGACTGGGAGAACTTTGGAAAATGTGTTATTCTTAGAGGAAAACAACAGCTGAAAAAGAAATTACATGGGGAAATAGGCAGCCATCTCCTGAGAGTTGTTACGGAACATGTCCCCCTATCTTTCTAAGCTTGGTTGGTCTGCCTGCCCCTCAAGACCACCATCAAGGCAGGAACAGCTAAAGGCAGGAGCATATTAGTTGACCTGCTCATTTTTGGCCTGGTTTTTCAAAAGTTTGAAAGGAAGGAGGATATAATTCAGGAATTTGTCATGGCTCAACACCACTCAGAAAGGATTAAGTGGGGTTCAGGAAATCCTTATCAGATTCCTACAGCCTATGGGAGCTAGTTCTGCCACGTTTACTGAGAATGTATATGTGCATGGCGCGGGGCTCCATGTTGGGTATTGAGCGGGTGCCTCAGTTACATCCATTGAGTGCCCCAGTTTGGGATGAAATGAGAGGTAAATATGGGAGTCAGGTGGATGAAGATCAAAATATTAGACAGAAGTGACACTTTGGAGAATGTGGCTTAGTCTTGCAGCCAAGTGGGCTTTCTAATGCTGCCCCCAGAATTTAACTCATCCACCTAGTCACATGCAGAGCTGGATAACCACAGGCTCCTCCTCCCCATAGGAGCCCCCTACTTTATAGAGATATGGGGCTCCAAACAGTGTCTTGTGTGCTAGCAGGGAGATCCCAGAGATTACCATCTCCTGTGGGTTCTGTTGGTAGAGTCCACAGATTAGCTGTTAAGATTATATTTTAATATTTGATTTGCGGTGGTTCTCCACAGTGTCGTTTGGCAATGTCTGGAGTCATTTTTGGTTGTCACAAGTGTGTATATGTGGCTGGGGGATGGGGGTGCTTCTGCTGGCATGTAGTGTGCAGAGCTCAGGGACACTGCTAACTGTCCTGCAGTGCCCAGGCCAGTCCCCCCCCCCCGGCAAAGCATTGCCCAGCCCCAAATGTTAGTACTGCTGAGCCAAGAAACCCTGGGGGTACACTTGCCCTAGTTTGATGGATAATTCAAAATTGGCTCTAGGGTTGCAAAAATTTATATCATTTTTTGAAGGTAAATTCTTTAAATTTCTTCAGGTAATTATTTTTGGTATCTTTCACTTTATCAGAAATTAGAAACTCTGGCATATTATTCAATTAAAAAGGCTGTTATAGAAAACCACCAGCTTTTATGCATGGGGGCACTAAAGACCCATCCTAATTGTACAGAGCTAAAAGAGTTCCCGAAATTTTCATCTCCACAGCTGGGTCCATCACAATTACTAATTAGTAGCATAGTATTTCAGTCCTTTTCAGAGCTGTGAGAAAGCTTAAATTTTGCTTCCAAAGTATTCTTAAATTAAACACTCTTTTAAATCCTAATAATGGGATTTTTCAGCACTACTCCACCCATAGGCATTTAGGCATTTATTTAGCAAGTAAAACTATTTCTCTAGGATTCACACTTGCTCTTGTGCGATTGAGGTAGACAGAGTTTGCAGAACAGTTGCCTTTCCAGAAGCTCTCTTTGTCATCCCAAGGTCCAGATGGGCTGCAGGGAAGGTTCTGCTCAGTGTTGATCCAAACGTGAGCTGAGGACCCATCTGGGGTCCTGCTAAAGCCCACATCTACTGACCAGAGCCTGTTGGGTGGGCTCCTGGACTTTGCATTTGTAACAGATTTCCCAGAGCCTCAAGACTGGGTAAAGCTGAGAGCTGAGCTGTTTGAACTGGGGGAAAGATTTGGTCCACCGCAGGTTTATAGGTCTGGGGGTGGCAGCTGGTGAGAGCTGCTTCCAGGGTGGTTGGGGCTAGAGCACCGACTCCCCCACCTGCTGCCCAGAGGCTCTAGGCATTTTTACTTACAGAGCCTTTTTCTTCCCAACCCCTTTGGCCCGCTGTCCTCAAGGGATAACTTAAGAAATCCTTCCTCAATAAATCTTTCCCACCAGATGACTCTTCATCTTTAGAGGGTTATACATGCAACAAGTGTGGGGAAGGAACAGGTCTTTTATCATAGGCTGGCAATTTCAACAGTAATAACTTCAAGTGTTTTCATTCAGGGTGCAGACCAGACACTCCATCTATCATAATCCTTGACACAGAGAGCTCAATAAGTCTGATGACTGTCAAATGCCCAGATGGGGCCTAGAGGACCTTTTATAAACATCACTATTACTTAGAAGAATCTAATTGCTGAGAGAAACTTCAGCATTTTATTCCAAAATCTTCATTTCAAAAAACAAGTAAACTGAGGCTTAGAAAGGTAAACTGTTATTCTCAGGTCTAATGGAACAAATACATGGTATTTTGTAAATTGTAAGTGGAACATAATGATGATAAAGGTGAGGTCTATAATCATTGTATTTCATCTTCATAATATCCTTGAAAAATAGGCAAATGAGGCATTTTTGAGTGAGGTTGCACACAATGCACATTCCTTAGCAGGGTTTTCCACATTCACATCATCTTAGAAAGCACAGTTCTTTAAAGGTGTAGTGTGACAATTTAGTGCCAAGCTTTGGAGGCAAATCTCCTGGCTCTACCACTTAACCTTGAGCAAGTGGATTAATTCTGTGTGACTTGTATTCTTATTTGTAAAAGAGAGACAACAATAATTTTTACCTCATGGGGTTATTATGAGGATTAAATGATATAATATATGTAAAATGCTTAGAAAATTATGTGGCATATAATGAGCACGTGGCAATGTTTGCTCTGGTATCATTAGCTGTTTGTAAAGGGCCCCACACTACAGCAATTCCTTGATTTATTTGTGCTGACTGTTTTGCCTATATTGGCTTTCATTTTAATTAAAAATGATAATCTTGTGTGTATCAGAATGATTTTGGCTTCAAGTAGAGGAAAACCCAACTTAATGTGACTTTCAGTAAAGAAATCTAACATTGTACCCAACTGCAAGCCTAGAGATGGGGCGGTCTCCGGTGTTAGTTGATTCCTTCTCTCTGCTCCATCAGCCATGGGGTGGGTGTCCTCCTACAGCTAGTTTCCTCATGCTTGCAAGATGACTGTGAGAATCAATAAGGATATTATTTCCTTCTTAACATCCAGCAGAAAAAAAAAAGGAACTCCCCAAGCATGGAATATATATCTTGGTATGTGTGCCCTCTCTGGCATCTGGTTGCCAGGAGATTGCCAAGGGCTGTCTGTTAGACTGAGTTCCTGAGCTGTCAGAACATGGGATCGCCCTGCAGTAGTCTAGCTTGGTTCATTAGGCTTAACCCCCTGGAGTTAGGGTTAGGTAGAGACGAGAGCAGAACTGGGCTGTACGAGGAAGGATGGAGAAAGAAGTGGATGCTGCATAGGCAACCAACAATGTCTGATGTACAGGTACTGATGTGAACAAGCAATATGGTTTTGGTGACCATCATAATCAATAGATCTTCATTATTTTCACAATAGATTATGTAAAAATGTCTTTTATCTTGAAGGTTAATTGCATTATTTGTGTATTTCAGAAAATGTTAGCAAACTCAAGAAACTTGAATATTTGAATTTAGCTTTAAACAACATTGAAAAAATTGAAAATTTGGAAGGTAAGAATTTTCTTCTATTTTATTATGAATTAAAATTGAGATTTAAAATTACACAGTATTGCTTAAACAACAGATACCTTTTCAAAGTAACATTTTAAATAAGTGTTTATTCTTGTAAAAATTCAAGCAATGATGAGACACAAATTCAAAAATGGAAGTCCATTTCACCCCTTCCTAACTTAATTCTTTCCCAGAAGTAGTGGTGTTAACAGTTTGGTGTGGATAAAGTAGTTTTACTTCATTTTGCTTTGTGTCAATGGGATCATATTATGAGTATTGTCAAATTATTGACTATAGTGACAAATTATTACCAAATTATTCTCACAAAAGGTTGTCTCAGTTTACTCTTATACTAATAGTCCATGTGAATACCATTTTTATACAACTTTGCTAATACTGTTTTTAAAGATGGGGAAAAAAATTGAAAAATATTGTTATCAAATAATTTCTAAAATTCACATCTCATTATTATTGAGCTTTTCAGAGGTTATTGAATATTTATAGTTCTTATTGTGTGAATTACTAGTGCATATTTTGTCACATTTCTTGATTTATCTTTTTTAATGTGTTCATATACATTCCAAATATTAATCCTTTGTTATATAGGTTGTAAATATTTTCTCCTGCATCTACTACTTTTCTTTTATTCTAGTTATGCCAGTATCATTCAGGAGTCTTAAATTTTAATATACTCAAACTTATTGATCCTTTTCTTTATAGTTTCTAAACACAAATACATTCCTTATTAAGCTATGATTTTATTTTCTACATTTAATATCTCTAATGCACTTCAAATTTGTCATGTAAAAAAGGAATCAACATGTATTTTTTGGATAAAGAAAATGTGTATGTGTCACACACACACACACATAATGCAATATTATATAGCCATTAAAAAGAATGAAATCTTACCATTTATGACAACATGGATGGACCTTGAGAGCATTATGCTCAGTGAAGTAAGTCAGACAGGGAAAGACAAATACCATATGATGTTACTCACTTCGCATATGTGGAATTAAAAATAATAATAATAAGCTCACAGATACACAAAACAGATTGGTGGTTGGCAGAGGGCGGCAGGTGAGGGATGGGCAAAGTGAGTGAAGGTGGTCAAGAGGTACAATCTTCAGTTATAAAACAAATACTTCATGGGGATGTAATGCACAGGATGGTGGCTATACTTAATAATACTGTATTGCATGTTTGAAAGTTGCTGAAAGAATAGATCCTAAGAGTCCTCATTATAAGAAAAAAATCTGTAACTGTGTGGTAACAGATGTTAAATAAACTTACTGTGGTGATCATTTCACAATATGTACAAATACTGAATCATTGTGTTGTATCCTGGCACTACATAAGGTTATTATACCTAGTAAAAAATAATTAAAAACAAAGTAAGATGAATTTGGAAAACGTGGGTTTTTTTACTCCAAATATCTGTTAACTGACATACTTTGACCGATTTTAAAAATTGAGATATAATTCGTATAACAGAAAAGTCACCATTTTAAAATAAGCAACTCTGTTTCTTTAATGTTTATATTCAAAAAATTTTTCATGTATTCACAAGGTTGTACATCCATTATTACTGTCCACTTCCAGAGCTCTGTATCCATTGACATTCATTCCCTATTCACCCCTTTCCCTAGCCCCTAACAACCACTAATCTACTTTACATATCCATAGATTTTCCCCATTCCAAACATTTAATGTAAATGGAATCACAGTATGTGGTTTTTAGTGTCTGTAGGATAATGTTTTCAGGGTTTATTTCTGTTGTAGTGTCATTCTTTTTTATGACTAAATAACATTCCATTATATGGCTACACAATATTATTTACCCATTCCCTAGTTGATGGACATTTGGGTTGTTCCCACTTTTTGGTTATTATGAATAAGGCTGCTATGAACATTAATGCATGTTTTTGCATAAACGTATGTTTTCAATTAATTTAGTATAACTAGAATGAAATTGCTAGGTCATACGGCAACTCTCTGTTCAAATTTTTGAGGAACTATTAAATTGTTTTCCAAAGTAGCTGCACCGTTTTACAGTCTCACCAGCAATTTATGAGGGCTCCAATTTCTCCACATCATTGCCAACACTTGTTACTTTATGCTTTTATATGTTCATTTATTTTTATGGTAGCCATCCTATGGGTGTGAAATGGCATCTCACTGTGGTTCTGACTGCATTTACCTAATGGCTAATGAGTTTGGACATTTTATGTGTGTTTATTGGCCATTTGTTTATCTTTGAAGAAATGTTTATTCAAACCCTTTGCCCATTTTCTAATTAGGTTGTCATTTTACTTTTAGTTGTAAGACTTATTTGTATATTCTGGATACTAGAGTCTGATCAGGTATATGACTTGCAGATATAGTCTCCCACTTGGGGGGTTTTCTTGTCAACTTTCTTGATGGTGTCTTTTGGAGCTTAATTGTTCTTTTTTAAAAAAATAGCTTTGTTGAGGCATATAATTGATGTACAAAAAACTGCACGTGTTTAATGTGAACAGTGTGTTGACTTTGGATATATGCACATACCTGTGAAATCACCACAGTTAAGGTAATAGACGTTACCTCTGTTTTCTCTGATCTCTGCTAGAACTTTTTAAAATGGATTTTGGTTGTACCAGATTGATCTTCTATGCCTCTTAAACTGTGTTCCTTATTTACTTCTCCTTGTTTTGTTATTCTGGGTAGTTTCTTGTTTTACTTTGCAAGCTTCTATTTTGTGCTTTTACTGTTTGTTTTAAACCGGGTCTATCTATTCATAATCACAAAGGATTTGGCTGATTAGGTGGCTGGTGTGAGCTTATTCTGCACTGTGAGGTTCTGTTCCACATCTACCTCCTCCTTGCTGGCAGGGCTACTGCGGGCTCTGTGCGAGTGTGCAGGGCATGCCGACTGGCAGGCTTTACTTTAGAGGGCAGGGGCATGGAGCAGAGGCAGGCAAGCTGCTCTCTTCACCCATCTCCTATCTGCCAGTAGCTTAAATTATGAGGATTTTAATTAGGTTACACTAGTTTTAACCTATTTGCCTCCTAGTATAAAAATAATTTCATTGACTACCAAGGTTTATATCAATAAAAACATAAATGTTCACCATACATTTAAAATTTTCATCCTAAAACCTAAAATGTTATCACTATGAAACCCCAAACCTATCACCAGTGCTGGAGTTGAGATGATCCTTCCCACAATTGGCATTTTCTGCATTAGAAGTGGAGTCATTGCTCCCCATTACCACGCCTTATATGAACAAATGGAATAACAAAATATATCCTGTGTGTAAGTTTTGTGGTAGTAAAATGTCAATCTGTAATTCCAAAGTAATAATTGAAACTGTCACTCTCATTTGTCTTGTCCGAGGCTTGTCTTTGGTGTTAATTAAGTATTTTAGGCCTCTGTTTTGGCGTATGTTTTATATATTTGCCACTAGAGGGCAGCATCGTCACTATTGTCTTTTTTGAACTTCGGGACTAGGCCACAGGCCACCTTCACCTGGACACTCCTATGTGAGTTCCACCTTCCAGCTAGAGTGTGGAGACACTAGGCTCCGGTAGTTCGAGGATATTTTCCAGGGAATGGGCAGGAGGGAGGGGGGATGCATCTTATCTGCTGGTAAATATGACCTTTTTGTTTAACTGTAAAGGTTTGAGGTGAGAGAAGACAGATATGCATACTCAGCCCACTTACTTGAGTAAATTTCAATGTAACTTTAAACATAAGTTGGATTTTTGCTTCCACGGCTTCACACCATGTGGATTCACTAAGAAAAATAAAATTGCTTATTTTTCCATCCCTCCTCCTTACCCACACTTAACCTGGAAGGAGAAGGGGGTTTCTACAGCGTGAGCTTCCCCCCTTGGAAGTCAACCATGTCTGGTGCCAGGGATCATTGAGTTGGATCTTTCCAGAACAGGAGGTGGAAGGTGGGACTCAGTTGGAGGAAGGAGTGCCTACCTCCAAAGAAAAGGCTTTTCAAGCCTGGCTAGTTCAGCAAGAATTGTTCATTAGGATGGCAAATATGGCAAAATGGTTTAATTCTTTCGTGTAGGATGATAGAAGACAAAATTAAGATCCATCACTTTGAAATATACAAGGAGCATTGGGCGGGTCCTTCGTCTGCAAAATTCAGCAAAATCAAAAATATAAGAATTTTTTAACTTGGTGGAGACTTTCAAATGTCACCCTTTCCTTAAAAAGAACAACATAATTAAAATGTTCCCAGGGTCTCCCAAAATAAACTTAAGAAATACCAGACCCATATCTTAAGTCAAACTACCCCCAATGTATCTTTCAAATTTCATAAAATCCATCTAACATTTTTTGCCAATATGAAGCAAACATACAGACATAGAACCATAATCTTAATTGTATTTTTATCCAAAGTTGCATACTCATTCATCATATAGTGACTGAATCCACATTTTTATAATTCAGTGACTGAATTATGGAGTATATTGAAGTGTTTTAAATAATTTCTTATTGTATGGTGCTTAAGTGTTTTTACTTATGTTTGCTATTATGAGTAGAACTATTCTGAACAGTTTATACAAATTACCTCTGTTTCCAGTTGAGGTATTCGACTGGAACCTTTTCTTTCAAAGTGAAAATCTGGGTCAAGGGAGGAAAAACATTTAAAAGCCTATTTCAAATATTAACAGATTGAATGATGAAAAATATAATTGTTATCTCACAGCCTTGCCAATATTTTTAAAATTTTTGTCTCTATTTTAATAATTTATTAGAAAGAAAGTGATTTTGTTGTCCTTTTTTCATTTATATGATTATTTTTGAAGATGTGAAGTTGCTGAATTTCCCTCACTTATCTAAGCTGAATCTGGAATATATAGAAGTCTTTGGGTATTCATCTTTTTATTAATTAATATTTTTACCATCGTGATACAATACATAGTTTAAGAAGTCAAACTATTACCTAGCTTTATGTTGAGAAATAGCAGTCTCTTGTCAACACCCTCAGACTCTGC